TGAGGCTTTAACTGGGCAGGCAGGAACAGAAGGGCTGGCTGGCTGGGGTCCTGGCTGGCTGAGGACAGAGACAGCAACGCTGGGGAACATGGACGTGGAAGTGCTGCCCGAGCTTCAACACTGCAGCAGAGGTTCAGGGAGGACACTCCACCCCAAGCACAAGTTAAACCCACAATTAAAGAATTTCTGGATCCCAGAAACCTAAAAACACTCCAAAGCTAAGCTGTAGAGAGCACTGAGGCAGCCAGAACTTGACCAAGTGTCTCATGGCCAAGAGCACCTGACTCTTTTCCATCACTGCCATTTCTAAAAGCTTCTGAACATTTTCACAGGGAACCTCAGAGAATTGGGAGTTACTTCTTTTCAAGCCCCTTTTCATCTGCTCCTCAAAAGTTTCCAGAGGAGGGGGGAAGAAGTCTGCAGGTTCAAATGAAAACTTCAGTACCAGACAGGTTGGTAAGCCAGAGGTGCATCAGTTGAGTCTGCTCCTGAAGCTGTGGAGCTCTTCCCCCTCCTCCCCTCCAGACAGTGAGGCAGCTGTGAGGGAAGCACCTGATGGGGGTTTGCAGGCACCTGATGGGGGTTTGCAGGCACCTGATGGGGGTTTGCAGGCACCTGATGGGGGTTTGCAGGCACCTGATGGGGGTTTGCAGGCACCTCATGGGGGTTTGCAGGCACCTCATGGGGGTTTGCAGGCACCTCATGGGGGTTTGCAGGCACCTCATGGGGGTTTGCAGGCACCTCATGGGGGTTTGCAGGCACCTCATGGGGGTTTGCAGGCACCTCATGGGGGTTTGCAGGCACCTGATGGGGGTTTGCAGGCACCTCATGGGGGTTTGCAGGCACCTCATGGGGGTTTGCAGGCACCTCATGGGGGTTTGCAGGCACCTCATGGGGGTTTGCAGGCACCTCATGGGGGTTTGCAGGCCCTGCAGCACCAGCAGAGAAGCTGAGAAAAGGAACTGCCAAAAGGATCAGAGCAAGGTCCTTTAATCTGGGGTGTCTGTCAGTCCCCAACCAGGACCAGATGCTTCAAAGGAAGGTGTGAAATCCTCTTAATGGGCAATTATGGACTAATCTCCCTTCAAAGAAGGTTTTTGCCAGCACACAGATGCACAGTGGCCGGTTCATGCCCAAAGAATGAATTCACAAGGTCTGAACAACATTTCTCCTACCCAACAAGAATCAGGACATCCTTGGTTTTGTCAGTACTTAACACTGCTTTAAAAGCTGTTGGCAGCTGGTTCACCCTGCTGGTGCTGAGGAAGTGTGGCTCTGACAAACTGGTTACATTGGTTTCAACTTTGATACTTTGAATTTCACCCTTACTCTGGTAGCACCAGGCAGGGTAGATGGGGGGAAGAGCAAAGAGACCTGCTGGACATGGTGGCTGAGGACAAGCAGTGCTGGAGGTTTCTGAACGGCTGCTCAGCCCTGCCACAGGCAGCTCCTACCCCTCTACAGATGGGATGGAGATAGGAGATCCCCTCAGGATCCAGGGGAGGGCACAGTTATGGGCTGGGAACTGGGACTAGAAGTTCAGGTTGCTCTTACTGTGTAGGATGACTTGCTGGTGATCTCCAGAAGCTTCTGCTTTGCTCTCCGCTCGGACTCGCGAGCCTCCTGAAGATCTTGCTTCAGCTGATCAGCCTCCTTTGCCCTACAGAGAGAAACAGCAAATGGCAAATATCAGCCTGAGGCTGAGAGAGGGGATGGAGGAGCAGGATTATGGTGCAGAAGAGGGCGAGGTCTGTCCTGCAGCAAGACCTAAACTCAGAAATGCTTTTGGACAAGGGAAACACCCGCACACAGGATGTTCTAATTAGCACAAACACCCAAGCCACACAAGGGCAGCTCCACCATAGGCTCTGCAGGAGCATCAGTGAGCAAAGCTAAGGGCTGGAAAAGTGTGCTGAGATGCTAGAAAGGGGAAAAGAACTTCAGAAGTGAAGCTCAAGACTTACAGCAGGAGGGGCAGGTTCCTGACAAGCCTCTAGTAACAATTACTAACTACATTTAAAGGCAAAAGCACCCGAGGTTGCCTCTTGCAGGGCCTAACTAATTTAAGACCTTATCCCTGAGGCTCAAGAACCCCCTGCAAGGAGAAAGCCAAAGGGAGGAAGCTTTCTCTGCTGTGTGGAAATTTCAGTGGAGACTTCACAAGACAGAGAGCAAGGCAAGAAGAGATGGACAAGGGCAGTGATCATCCAAGCAGAAGGGCTGACACTGAGTGAGGTCTCACATGGGAGGGAGTAATCAGTTGGAAGGAAACAAGAATGACCTTTCACTTGCTTGCTACCAAATGCACCACCATGGGACCAGGGCTCTGGTATCAAGAGGATGGAGACACCAGTTTCAACAGGAAGCAAGGACACCAGGAGCCAAGGAGACCTCAAGGCTAACCTGAAACGGAGACCTGCTATGGAGAACTAAACTGCGAGGGAAGTAGAAGAACAAAGAGATGAGCAAATGTAGATTTAACATCCACAAAAGAAAAACCCCAAGTGTCATCACGTGGCAAAATACTTTGGGGAATGCAGTGGGTGTTGGCAGAAATCACCCAAAAGCAGAGGTGGCTTCAGAGTGCCAAGGACCACGGTACCTTCTACTCCTCTCCCTGCTGCTTCCACCACTCTCTCCCAGAGAATGCTTCAGAGAAGGGTCTCTGGCTGGGATCCAGGGAAAGACCACTGCCCTAGCAGCACTGTTTCCCACTCAGGGCCAGCCCAGCTGTGGCAAACAGTGAGATGGGCAGAGAAACCAGCTGAGCCTTGGGGCACTGGCTGTTGTACACACAGGAGGCCCAGGGCTCCCTGCAAACTGTTGGATGGACTAACCCAAGGCACAAGCTGCTCTGTCAGCTGGGACAGAAGGGGGTTGGAAAGCAAAGCAGAGGCAGCTGCAAGGTTGTACCCTCTGACCTCCTCTCCGACTCCTCCGCCATTTTCAGTGCCAACATCTCTGCCTCTAGCACCTTCTGTTCCATCAGCCTCTTCTCCTCTTCCGTCCGGATGGCCGTGGCTTTGATCCTCTGCATCTCCTGTTCAGCCTCAGCTGCTTTCTGAGCCAGGAGCTTGGCCTCCTCCTCTGTGATCTGAGCCTTCTCAGCCAGCAAGTCTGCTGTCTCTTCAGACCTCATCTGAGAACAAAGGCACATTGAGCCATCCTGGGCAGTGAATGTGTCCCCAAATGTGCTTCTCCCCCTGGTGCATTCACTCCATGGCCCATGGAGTCCCTCCCTTCCATGCACGCCTGAAGCTCCTGCAGCCAAGGCCTGGCTGAGCCCAGGCTCCATCCCAAACCCTCCTCCTTTGTGCTCCTGCCATAGCAGGCTGGTGGGATGAAATCAACTTCATCCAGCCTCCTGATCACTGCCCACCAGCAGCGCTTTGAGAACAGCCAGTGCATTGGGAAACAACCTTCCTAAAATGCTTCA